CGCAGCTTTGTCAGGGCGGTGCTAGGCGTGTCTGCACTCCCCGCCCCCAGGCGGGGCGGGCCCCTGCGCTAGGCGTGGCGGCCTGACACACCCCACCCTGCTCATCTCTCCATGGAAATCTTTGGGACCGAGCGTCCTCTGTGCACATCTCACCGCCAGCAGATCCCATATGACCCCCACACACATACCTGTAGCCCCAAGGCCCTCAGCCCTGATCTCTAGAAACTGCCCCTCCTCTTTTCTAGGTTCTCATGCCCATCTCAAAGACCCAGACACATTGCCCCAGGTGTGCCATTAACTTCCAAATCCTGCACCCACCCTATTCCTCTCAGCCAGAGCTCAAGTAGAAGGCGGCTCTCAGGAAATGGGGAGGGACGTCTGGTCTAAAATAGCCGGGGCGGGGGGCGGGGGGGGTTCCTCCAAGCCTCTTTTTATCTTCAATAGCTTGTGCACAGCTTCTGCTTGAACTCATTCATTCGTTCTTTCTTTCGTTCAACAAATGTTTGAAAGCCTGCTCTGTGCCCCATTCTTAGTTCAGACCTCGAGGAGCTCACAGTCTAGTGAAAAAGAGAGGAAGGAGAACAGAGAGGTAACAAATGTTTGCAATACTTTGAGGAATGTCCACAATTAAACTAACTCCATGTTGGATCTCATAAAGGGAAGACGTAAAGATGCTGAACATGAAAATGCATTTATTTAATCCGGAGGCCCTGAGACCTTTCCATCACCATTTTCATTGCCCAGGTCAGCTGATTTGACCAATATTGTCCTCTCTTCTGTGCCAGGCCTTGTGCCAACACTGAGGGCAGAGATGTGAAAGACTTGATCATTTTCTATGAACTTGCTTGCCGTCTGGTGGGGATCACACACACACACACACACACACACACACACACACACACGCTAAGACACAAGAATCAAATCCACAGGCCCAGTATAAACATCACTTCCTCCAGAGAGCCCTCCAGAGTTACTCACTCCCTCCACTGCTGGATGTTGCCTCTGTTCCAGCACTGACCACACTCGGTTTCTCCATCTGCCTCCCCTACCAGACTGCGAGCTCCAGTAGGGCCTCTTCCCACTAATGGCATGAGTATATCTCAGAGCAGGTGCTAAGAGGGGTTATGAAAGGAAACAGGCTGGTCCCAGAGGCTATCTAGTATGCAACAGGAGGCCCTGGTTCTCCAAGAGTAGTCTTTAGGCCCCTGGTTTCAGAATCACCTAGGAACTTGTTAACTTGGGGCCTACCCTCCAGCTCCTGCCCATTTAGAATCTCTAAATGCCCAGGAATTGACATGTTCACAAGTTCACAATCCCCCACCCCTATTCCAGGTGATTTTTATGCACGTTCACTCTTGAGAACAAACTGACATACCTATATAACCAAAATGTGTGGTGCAGCCTCAAATTATAGCAACTTGAGGATACTTCTCGGCTTCAGGTCCTCATATGCAAGATGGGCACATTGCCCTGGCCTCTTCCAGAGTTTCCATGACGATGAAAAGCATAAGGGATCTGAAAAGTGTTTTATAAACTATAAGATGGTTTAGGAAAGCAGTAGAAGTTTGTGAAATTACTCATTGCAAATCCTGCACTGTGTCAGCACTAGAAAGGACCATAGAAAGTATATAGCCTCTTGCTGTACAGATTGGAAAATTGAGACCCATAAGGAAGCTGTGAAGCCAGCCAGTGTCAGAATCTGGCCTACACTGGATTCTCAGCCCTGGGGTCAGCTTGTCTCCTTCTTCCTCAGATAGAGAAGCTACCATTAGAATGGTAGGTCTCATTCAAAAAACCAAGCCAGATCCTGACAGAGGGTGAGAGAAGCCAGCAACACACCCATTCCAGATGGAGTTTCTTTTCTTTACATCTCCCCGAAGGGTCTCCATAACAGTAATATTTGCTTGGTAAAGCCCTCCCATTCCAATTGTCATTCAATGAACACTTAATAAGCACCTGGCATGTGCCAAGCACTGAATCGGTTGCTAGAGAAGGAAAACATAGTTATTATTGACCTATTTTATGATGAGAAAACTGAGGCCCAAAGGGTATGAGCTTACCAACCAAGTGAAAAGGCCATTATTCAGGCTCAGTGAGGCCAAAGCCAAGGATTTTCCAAAGCCCTGTCCTCCCTAAAGTATTCAAATATACAGCTTCACAGGTAGAAGCAGGTGCCCTCGGTCCCACAAACCCCGCTTGGCCTGCTCAGCAGAAAGGAGTGAAAACCAGAACTCCCAATATGAAATCAAGGAAGAGATAAAGGCTTTCTGTGTCTATTAATACCCACTTGAAAGCAGCAAAGGCCCGACAGATGGGGCCTCTTGGCCCCAAGCCTGTCCAATCCCAATAAGGCTGTTCTCAATGTCAACAGTTCTCCTCAGTCTGGTAGACTTCCAAAATCCACACTTACTGGGCAGCCACTTCAATTGATGATCTCCTTTCAACCCAGTAATCCCATAAGTGAAACTTGCTTATGGACATGGTTAGAGGAAGGAGGCTCAGAGAGGGACGCTCAAAGTTCAAGATCACACAGCAGAAATGAAATGGGAACTTAGCCTGCCCCACTGCAAAATCCAGGGCCTGCTCTTCACACCCTCTGAAAAGATCCCAAGAGCTAGGCTCAGAGCTGTCAAAAGTATAATGTACAGTTCCCAAAAGGTATTATGGTAGATAGTGGCTTAATTAATAGGTGCTTACCCCCAGCACCACCTCCACCAACTTCTTACTTGAGTCCAAAGAAGTAGAAGCTCCTGAGCCCATGATCTTTGGGTTGGAGATATCTTTCCCTTGATTTTCCAAGAGGCAGGATGATGTAAAAGTGATAGCATGTGCTTCTAAATCAGGTGGATGTAAGCAGGAACCTTCATCTGTGTAACCTGGACAAGTCAATTCACTTCCTCTGAACCTCACTTATTCCAGATATTTGTTGAACACCTACTATGTGTGAGATATTGTGCTGGGTGCCTGGGAAACAGCTGGAAGCAAAACAAACCTATCTGCAATATCTGGAGCTCATAGTCCAGTGGGAGAGTCAGAATTATTTCTACAGACCTGCACAATATGTTCATTAAGTATGACAACACAAATAATTCAAAGTTATTTATTCCACATATACCACCTCCCCAAAACATACATTCTTAGCTTTAAAAAAAAAAAAAAATCTGAATCTGAACATCCCATCATTATGAATGCATAATTGACAGAAATTCTGCAGAGACTTAATTTTATTAAGGGGCACAGAGACATCCATTGTTGAGTTCTGGCAGAGGGAGGTGGGGAGTTTTATGTCTGTGACATCACATTTGTCTCAAATGATCCCTCCTTGCTACACTGAATTGTTTGACTGACGGTTTACTGTCCTTGGAGATGTTCTGTCACCGTGCCAGTTCTGGCTGTCTGAACAGACCTCTTACCCATCCAAGGGGCCACCTATCGTAGGAGCAAGGCCTGGCAGTCAGGCAGACCCCAACTGTGTGGCTTGGCTAGACGACCTTGAGTAAGTGATTGACTCCCTTGAAGAGCTTTGCTTGCCCCACCCATTGAACAAGGGAGCAAAGGCTCCTTTATAGGATGGGTGTCAGGGTTAAAAGAGAAAACAAGAGAAGCAGAGTTTGCAAACTGACCAACAGGTGTGATTTAATTTGCCCACAGTATTTTTTTCTGAATTATGAATTAAAATTTTTTAAATTTGGAAATGCTATATAAAAATTCAAGTATCTGACTGTCTTTTAAAATGGTAATATCCAGGAATACTAGCCAGGCCACCATGGTGCTGAGCAGTTGCTGTCTCCCATTTTGCCAGAGCCTTGACCCTCTAGGCCACTATAGTTCCTCCCCGGCTTGCCTCATTCAGTGGCCTTGCCATTCCAGGTATGAGTTTACAATCCCTGATGACTGTGCCTGGCACACAGTAAGCACTCAATAAATGTTAACTACTATTAGTGATATTATTACTGCCAGGGAACCAACCAGCACTAGCACAGCTCCTCTGCTTCCCAAGTAACTGAAAATGTAGATATGGAAGACATGGGGCTGAGTGCCAGACAATAGCTGCCTAGCTGTGTGGCGTTGGCCAAGTGGATGGATGTGTTCAGTGGAGTATGAGCTAGAGGGTCCAAGGTCCAATGCAAGCAGATAGGTTTGGTTGATAAGTGAGCCTCTCTCTCCCCAACCCGTTACGCCTTGAGTTCATGCTCTGGGGACCTCCTCTCCTTATTATCATCCCAACCTCTGAAGAGGGATTCTACTTTTCCAAGGAGAGGAGGTAAACCAGACATAGCAGATATGCCTGCCCTGACCAGGGCCACAGAGTTGGTAGGGGGCCCTTAGAGCAGACGGGCTCTGCTTTTTCATATATAAAATGGAGATGATAATAATGATAATAAAGGTTTACTTGAGAGTGTTGTTGAGACATTAAATGAGATATTAAAGTGCTTAGGACAGTACTTGGCACATAGAGAGAGATCAATAAATGTCAACTGTTATCAAGAATGAAAGACATATCACCGAAGTAGCTTGCCTACATCTCTCGATTTTTCCAAAGGAGACAAGAAAACTGTTCTTGTTAGGCTGAATAGGAGAGTTTTCCTGAAACAGTCCCTGCTCTGCCTCTCAAACTCTATTAGGCACAAGGTAAAAATTACATTTGTAGGGCAATCAATGTATAGATGAGACAATTTCATATTCCATTCATTATAAGGCTTTTTTTTTTCATATTTTAACATCTCTGAAATTGAGATGCATCATACAATCAATGACATTTCCATTTTATTTATTATTATTATTATTATTATTATTATTATTATTATTATTATTGTCAATAGCTCTTTTCTTTCTTAGGGGCTCAAAATAATATAAAATAAATAATCTTTGATGGCATTTTACAAGCAATGAGATATGATGTACAGAAAGTGCCAGGTATGGTGCCGGCTATGTCATAAGCTTTCAGATTATTCTCATGATCTTCAGCATCACCAGTACATTCGAGGTTGGCCTTGGAACGAGCAGCTTTTCTTTTTTTCATTTTCTTGCTGACACCTGCTGACCTGCATTTGGTCCCTGGGTTGATAGGCACATAGCTAATGCAGTCACGGAGGGGAGAAGGGAGGGCTCCTGAAGGGAAGAGAAAGGTTTTTTATACTATATTAAGATATTCAGAGAGGAGGAGGCAGAGATCTTTTTTTTCAAACAACAAAAAAATCCCTGCTGGAGCCAGAGTCATATATATGCCAAACAGGCCAGGAAACCCAGCAGGCCTCCTGGAGCTGGCAATGAACCAAAACAGGGGCATTGTGTCCAGGCCACTGGCTGGCTGAGGGGGCATTGTTAGGGCCTGGCCCTGTCTGGGAAGAGGGGGGTGGAGGGGCCAGGGGGAGTGTGTTCCCATGACTCCCTGGGGAGTGACAACAATTGGGGGCCAGCTGGGAAGCCCGCATGCCAGGGGCCTGGTGGGCGGGTGGCAGGCCCTGGAGGGGCTATGGAGGGCCTAGGGGGCTGAGGAAGGGGTGTGGGGGTAAGGTCAGGGCTTGTTTCTCAGCTGGGGGGTAAGGCCTAAGGAGGGGGAACATTGGGGTCATTTGCTATGCTACACCCCTCTCACTCATGCCCACAGCCCTGGGCTGCTGAGTCTTTCCAAATTACACCCTAGCTCTGCCCACTTCTCTCGACCTCATGACCCCACCCTGGTCCAGGCTTCCATGGTCTCTAACCTGGACCACCGAGTGCCTCTGTCATTGGATCCTTGCTGCCAGCCTGGCCCCCTACACTCTTCTCCACACACAGCTGGAAGGATCTTTCCTAACTATAGATCACATCACATAACTCCCCTGCTTATGCCTGCCACGGGCTGCCCAGCAGACTCAGAAGAAAATCCAAACCCCTTACTCTAGCTCACAAAGCCTGCCTGATGGGCCCAGCAGGACTCTCAGACTCATCTCCAACACTCCAAAGAGCTCCAACCTGCATTCCATCCCAACCACTCAGAACTCCTGCCAGGCCCTGGAGTGCTTTCAGCTCCTTCCCTCCTGTGAGCCTGTGCACTTTGCAGACCTTATACTGTGAACAGTTCTAGGTACTTTCGCTATAGCATCTTTGCTGTGGATATCTTTGCTGCAAGCATTGCTACTGCAAACATTTTCACTGCATAATTAATTGGCCATAGGTAATTTTGCCATAAAAAAAAATAAAATAAAATCGTGACAAATAAGAGGAACATTTAAAAAGACAATGAAACATGAAAAAACCATTAAAAAGACTATTTAAAATATGTGTAGATTCATGGCAATGTTACCAGACTCAAGGGGTTCACCGCCTGGGGTATTCCATTCAAGAACTAGACGTGGCAATCGTTAGGCAGTTTTATTTACTTCCAGCAAGTAAAGGAAACAGGGGATTCACCTCCAAAGCTCTGTCTCCCCTAGCCATTGCTTATAAACACTGTTTGGCTGATTCCTTCTTTGCAGTTGAGTTCCTGGCTAGTTCATCCTGTTTACAGCTGCATCTACAAAATACTGTGCTACATTTTAACTTTATCCAGAACAGCATTTAGTAAGAACTGCCCGGACCTTGAGACAATTCCCATGAGAGTGTTTACTCCTCATTCTTGAGGGAATGGGGACAAGGGTCATACCTCTGTAACTGCTCCCTGATGAACACAGACAGAATACATCTTTTGAGGTGGAAGAATGAAATTCTCTGGCTGCCTGAGTAATGAAAGTCTTGGGGGTTTCCTAGGTTCTGGAATTCCTGAGAACAGGGGTGCATTAAGACATCACTGCTCTAACAGAGACATGCGCCATAAGAGGTGAGGCAGAAGCAGGGGGAAAATCAAGGAGATTGAGACCCTGCCACTCCTAAACTCACTGGTGAGGATCAAACGAGCAAGATAGACTAGGGTGACAGCCTCCTTCAGGACAAAGAGTTCTAAGCCTCTTAGAATTAATGCCAGAAAGGGATAGAAAGGCAGAAGGTGCTATTTTTTTCCTATATGATCAAGGAAAGCAAGCCATGATTTTTATTCAGGTATCACTTATTGAGCTGCTAGGTCTATCCAGGACTTTGAAGGACAGGTAGGATCTGGTCAGGAAGTGACTATGCAGAAAGGGCGAGCTTAGTGGATGAAGCACAGCAATCCCAGAGGGGAAAGGGATACTAGATATGACAGTTCTACACAATATTCAGTCAGTGTCCCATGGTTTCTCAAGCACAGTGATGCCTACCAGGTGGCCAAGTGAAAAGCTGTACCTCAGCCTGGGGAGGGAGAACAGTTAGGGAAGAAGTCCTGGCACTGCCCTCTGCATCTACTTTCTTGGGACAGTGCATCATAGAAAAGGTCCCCCATGATGATAGAAGGCACTCCTGGGAAATGCAAACTCGTGTGTGTGTGTGCGTGTGCGTGTGTGTGTGCGTGTGTGTGTGTGTGTGTGTGTGTGTACATGCATGCAGACACACACAGGAGGAGGGTAAGGCCAAGCATGTGAGGCCATGCTGTTAAGGCCCACACAGCCCAAGGCCCTCTATGATCAGACATCCTATTCAACATCATCCGCTAGCCAGTCAGCTGCACAGCTGCACAGCTGCAGCTCTCACACTAAAGCCCTTCTGAAAATCAGGATACAGGGAGAAACCATCACGCACTTGCTACCTCTTTGTCCCCCAACCCCACTGCCCGGTAGGGGCTGAGACGAGGCTAGAGATGAGCAGGTCACCTGAGGTCTACATAACCCAGTTTCTGTCTTTCACAGACTGTGGCCCCTCGACCATGTCCCCAGTTTGGAAACATTAGGAGGTCGAACTGAAAGTGAAGCTCCCATTCTGTGCTCAAGAAGGTGCAGGAAACAGCTGCAGGCGCAGGTTGTTCAAATCAGAATGAAACGGAAGGGGAAAGTAGGAGAGTCAGCGATGTCACAAGAGGCTGCACCATACCGCCTCCCCTCTTTGGCTGCAGAAGTCCACACTTGTGGAGTCACCTTCTACTGTAGTTTACAGGTCCTGGCTCCTCTCCTCCTTTCATTGCTCTGGCTTCTAGACTCCTAGAGAAGACGGGCCGAGAAGGCCTCCCCATGTCCCAAACAGATGGGACTGTAAGAGGCAGAGGACAAGCCCAGAATGCAGGGTTTAACAGCTTGGCTCACATGCCACAATTCAGACCCAATCTGCTTAAGATTCTGGGTGCCGTGGCTTCCCCTCATCTGTTTCATTCCCAGCTTATACCTTAGCAGTGCTGTATTGTTCCTAAACGTCCACTGGCTGCCTCTGGCTAGACAAAACACTGGCTGCTTCACTTTGCTGCCTCCACAGCAGGGCAAGTGCCCAAGTTAGCCCATTCCACTGCCAGTCAGCAGACTCCCAAAGCCATAGAGGCCTGTGCCCAGGCTGAATGAGGGCCACTCCACAAGGACAGAACACAGCTTGGAAGCACCTCATCCTGCCTGTGGATGTAGAGCAAGTTCTCTCACTTCGACACACCTCACACCCAGCCACCCCGTAGCTTTGGAGAAGAGACAGGGAGCTAATAGGCTGTTGCTCAAAAAAAAGCTGAGGTCTCATGTGTTTCCGTGACCTGACTAGGCTCTGACATGAAGGAATGCATGACTGTGCACCTGCCCAGAGTCAGTGATCTCAAAACCATACTTCAATACATATACTTTTGTATGAATGGACAGGAAACCAGTAAATTACTTTTTAAGACCACTCCAAAATCTTAATAAAATTTTGCACCCGACTAAAAGCAATTCATTTCCGTGTCATTTCCACCTTTCTCCCACACCATGTGGTTAGGAAGCCCAACCTTTCAAATTGTTACTCAAAATACATACGTGTGGTTGATTCTACCTGCTTCATTTTGCAAGTCCAAAAAAGCTGACTCAAACTACATTTTAAATCAGAGCAGACTTTTTTTTCCCCTCTCTCTCTGGCACCAATCCAATCAGGTAATATTAGTTTATTTAGTTTTCAATACTCCTAGAATGTTTGGCTTCTGTTATCACACCTTTGGTAAAATTTCTGAAATCATACCTGCTAATAGAACATGTCTTCATATCAATGAGATTCTTTGACGAGATATAGCACGTAATTCCTCCCCCTTATCCTTCAGAGGAAGGGAAGCAATGGAAGTCTTATTCAAATAGCCTACAAAACACGCTTCATTTTTTTGGCTCATAGGTAAAACCGGTAATTCTACCCATATAACTCCAAGCATATATCTTTACACCATTAGCCATAGACTGGCCCCTGATTGCCATGCCAAACCTTTGCTGCTCAGTCTTGCCTGCTTTCTAGGTTAAGAGATAGATACTCTCCTACCCCAGATCACTTCCACTGGAAACCGTGAGCTCACTTGCTTGTCCTCCTTAGTGAAGGTGGTGCAGCCTGTCTGATGGGAACCTCGATGTTGCTCAGGGAACTGCAAGGCCTGGGTGCCATCCCCATTTCCCATCATGAGGTCCACCCTGGCTGCAGGTGCTCCAGAAGCTGCCCTCCTTGGATAGAAGCAGGGCAGGAGAGTTGTGGGGGAGAGCTTGTGTGTGTAAAGCAACAAATGTGAATTTAAATGATCTCATGGGAAATGCCGAGACCTGAGGAAGCAAAGAAGCTGCACTTAAAAAACAATGCCTCCTGAATCTATGATAGACTCCCAGCCTCTAGCAAGGCTGCCCTGGACTGGACAGTTTCCTACCATTGACTCATTTGTTATGTTTCTTAATTTATATAAGCGCTTAATTTATTTAAGTCAAATAAACAGAACCCTTTTTATCCAATTCTGGAGAATGCACACCAAGAGGCTACAACTGGGGATCAAATCTGATTTTTCCTATAACCAACACACTTACATATAAGACGAGTAATGACACACAAAGAACAAATCAAATTCCTGTAGGACAGAAACTAAAGGGTGGTGGACACTATGATCCCATAACTTTTAGCCCACTGAAAACACTACCAGTGACCCAGGGTTCCCTGACAATCAGGCAACCAGACCAGAGATTGTCATCTGAGGATGCCTTGGATTGCCCCACAGGCGATCCTCAATCATCCAGAGTTAGACCTAAGTCAGGCCCTAAATCTGGAGTCCCAGAGGCAGCTCCTGTCCAACCAACCTGAAACCAAGCACACACCAGAAATGAAACTATCCTTCTGACAACTCTATACCCTAAACAAGAATGGAAACACTAATTAAAGTGACCACTGGGCTACTCTACACACCTCCCTCCAGAGGCACTGCAAAAAACAGGTTCAGGTGTCCACCCCACTCCACTGTTGAGGCAGACCAGGAAACCATTCTGGTGGTCAGCACCACGGGAGAGTTTTCTATAGAACAGATCCTCTGTCCAGTGCAGATGCAGGCGACTAAGCCCCAGGGGAGCTGCCACTGCTGACTGCTTCGCCGAGCATCCACACAAAGCTAAGAGGAAGTCCTTTTAGGAGAGTCCCATCTGAGTCGCCAGATTTGTTACTGAACTCAAGGGGTTCCCTCCTTCAGAAAATGGTTGGTTGTCATTAGGTAGTTTTATTTACTTGTAGCAAGTAAAGGAGACACTTCGCAAAGCTGTCTCCCTGAAGGGAGGCTTAGCCATTGCTTATATACTCTGTTTGGCTAATTACATGTTGATTTCTTCTTTGCAGTTGGCGGGTTGGGTTCCTGTCAAGCTCATCCTGTTTACAGCCCATCTGCAAAATACCGTGCCACATTTTAACGTTCAGCAAGAATAGCATTTAGTAAGAATCACCCAGACCTTAACACCCTTGCCCTATCTTAACAGCAATACTGCACAAATAACTGATTTTAATTTATGGATTGTACCTAAGTACTTGTCTTTATTCTACGGTAAATGTGAGTTCAACTCCGTACCCTTAAAGAGGGCCCTTGGCCTCTCTTTCTTCCTCCAATATAGTATGTTTCAAAATAAGAAACCATCTCTCGGGGCAAATCATCATCATCTGGAAGAAATGCTCACTATATTAAGTCCACCACCACCACATCTACTTGTCACTGAATTATGAGAGCTAGCTAAGATTTATATATACAGTATTCCCCTCGAATCTGCGGTTTCACTTCCCGTGGTTTCAGGTACTCATGGTCAACTGTGATCCAAAATCATTAAATGGAAAAGTTTAGAAATAAACAATTCGTAAGTTAAATTTCATGCCATTCTGAGTAGTGGATGAAATCTCATGTTGCCCTACTCTGTCCTGAGATATAAATCATCCCTTTGTCCAGCGTCTTCACGTTGTACATGCTCCTCGCCCATTAGTCACTTAGTAGTTATCTCAGTAATCAGATCCTCTGTCATGGTATCGCAGTGTTTGTGTTCAAGTAACCTTTATTTTACTTAATAATGGCCCTAAAGTACAAGAGTATTGATGTCGGCAATTTGGAAATGCCAAAGAGAAGCCATAAAGTGCTATCTTTAAGTGAAAAGGTGAAAGTTCTAGACTTAATAAAGGAAGAAAAAAAGTTGTATGCTGAGGCTGCCAAGATCTACAGTAAGGATAAGTCTTCTATCTGTGAAATTGTGAGGAAGGAAAAATAAATTTGTGCTAGTTTAGCTGTTGCACCTCAAACTGCAAAAGTTATGGCCACAATGTGTGATAAGTGCTTGGTAAAGATGGAAAAGGCGTTAAATTTGTGGGTGGAAGACATGAACAGAAGAAAACATGTTTTAACTGATGACAATGTGTTGTGCCAGAAAGTACTGAGTTTATACAAGGAGTTCAGCAAGGGATCCCCTAAAACAAGTGACGCCAAGCCATTTACTGCAAGTAAGGGATGGTTACGCAGATTCAGGAACAGACTTAGACTGAAAAATATAAAAATTGCCAGAGACAGAAAACCACATTCAGATAACTTTTATTGCAGCGTATTGTTATAATTATTCTATTTTATTATTAGTTATTATTAATTTCTATGTCTAATTTATAAATTAAACTTTATCATAGGTATGTATATATAGGAAAAAATAGTAAATACAGGGTTCGGTACTACCCATGGTTTCAGGCATGCGCTGGGGGTCTTAGCACATCTCCCACAATAAGAGGGGACTACTGTAATATAAAAATGGGAATAACTGTGAGAAATTTGTCAATAGAGAAATAAAACCAAACTGACAACTAGCTTAAATACATTAAGTCTGAAATCAATGAAGAAATGAAACCGACCAAACAAAAAACCAAATTGTCAACCAATTCTTTTCTTTTACAAGGCAAAAATTCGCTGTATGGCCAATTAGTTGTGCAGTGAAAATGTTTGCGGCACAGATGCTTACGGCAAAGATGCTTACGGGGATAATACTCGACACACCGGGAACACACTTCACACGGCTCTCTCTCCATTCGGTTCTCAGAGCAAACATCACCTCCTCAGAGAAGCCTTCTCTGGAAAACAGACCCTCTTGTTTTCTCTTCCAAATCTATTACACTGTTCTGTACTATTGCTTTCATAGCGCCTACCACTCTATGAAACTAACTAATTTATGTATTCATTTGTCAGTCTTCCCTCTCTAGACTGTAAGCCCCAATTAGGCAGGTACTACTTCTTCCACTGCTGAATACCTAGCCTTGAATATTACCTGTTATTTAGCATTTAGTAAGGACTCTGCCAACATTAGCCATTATTTTCATTATTCCTATGCTCAGGGCTTGGTAAACAATGACAGCTGTCATGAAATCAGGCTGAGAAGGTCATTCTCAAGCACGAGTTCTGAATCTGCGATCTATGAACCCAAGTGCCATGAACTTAGACAGAAAATTAAATTTATATTTTCACTAGCTTCTGACTAAAATGTAACATTTCCCTCAATTCTAAATGTAAGCAACAAACCAGAAGCCTGTTAGCAGAAGCTAAGACTTTATCACCAGTAGAAATCACAGCTTTTTTCATTTCCTGTCATAGTTGCTGTAGGTATTTTGAGATAGTATTCATAAATCGTGGTAGTTCTGGACCTACCACTAGAGCTTGTTAATGTGTTAAAAAAGAACAAATATTACTAAATTACAAATTTTAAAAATATTTTAATAATTATTTCAATGTTCAATATAATTATCTTTTTAAATCCTATGTATTTTATTTTATGGATTTTAAAAACAGCATTCTGAGAAGGGTCAATAGCAAGTCATAAACCCCTTGGCATCTTGGGGACGGCTATGGACTTTTTTTGGAATGTTGTTTTTAAAATCCATAAAATAAAATACATGTTAGAAAAGAGTGTCTTAAAAGAGCTGATATGATCTGACCTTGACCATTTTCTCAGCTGATGTCTAGCCCACGTGGAAAGGCTGAAGGGAGAAGCCTGGAAGAGCAGTGAAAACAAGGTTTCTAACAGAGACGCCACAACCTGCATATCCTGTCTTAAATATGAAATCATGACATCTGCAGCAGCTTTGAGCACAGAGGCCTGGTACAGAAAACGGGGAGCCCACTGTTAGGAAGCTCTCTCTAAAAACAATACTCAGAAGAGCACCCAGCTTTCCCTCTGTCCTCTACCTGGGCCCACGTGGCCTCCAGCTCACAAGAGTGAGTCCTGCAGGAGATCCTCTAGTTAAAAAGACTTCCTACCCAAAATGCTCTTCAAGGCTGAAATAAGACACATTCTCTCCCTATGTATCTGGTACTAGACAAAGGAAGGAAAACAATGATGTTCCTTTTTATAAATACTCTCTAATTCGTCAAAGAAAGCAACCTATCTGAAGTGACAGAATGTGGATACATGGGTTCACCCCAGGAGGTGGAGCATAGTACAATGTTCTGGTTTAGGACAGCGTCAGGTTTAAAGCCTGATTCTTATAAACCCAAAATGCACTCATGAGAGTGGGAGAAGTGAACAATACAGAAAGAAACACCACCTCCAGCATCCTTTCTGGAGCCTTTGAAAGGCGGGAACAGCAAACTTCATAGGAGGCAGTTTCTTGGCATCCTCAGCCTGTGAATCATCACACTCACATGGTTCACTGAACAATCTCTGGAGCGAAGCTGCAGAAGGGCCCCAAATTAACTTTGGTTTTGTCCTTCCCCTTTCGCTTGGGAGTTCCATGGGCCTGAATGTTGGGCATCATATATGGTAAGGCTCAGGATATCTAGGGGGTTCATTTTCATGCTGATCACAGTAAGAACCTGCCAAAGATATCTAGGGGGAACCAGCTCAAAGAAAGGACTCATTTGCATGTCAGATGATGGATCAAAGAGAAACCAAACATGTAGAGGACAGGGAGGAAATGCCAAAGAGTTGTTGAGTTGACAGTGCAATGTAAAAGCTCCTTCTAAAACAAAGATAGAATCTGAGCATAAAATCCCTCAGGAAGGCTGTACTGGAAAAATGCTAATAGTGAGTGTTCCTGGCAAGGGAGGAAGGTTAGGGGTGGAGCCTGGATGTAGGAGGGAACCTGACTTTTTCGTTACACACTTTTTATACTATTTAAGTTTTGTACGATGTATATGTATTATTGATTTTAAAAATATTATTTACAGTCTTGCATGTCAGAAGACTTCATAAGAATGTAGCAGGTGCTTAATAAACAAACACATGTTAAACCACTGTGCTGTTTCAGGAACTAGCATTTATGGATGCCTACTGTGTGCCAAGGACCCTTTGGCAATGCCTGTTTTACTGCTCTTAGGAAATGGAGGCTCAGCTAGTAGGGAGCCAAGTGGGCACTCCTCCCAGGTCTGCTGGAAGCCAGCACTCTGCTCCTCGACAAGGACCACACCGCCTTCCTCCCTGGAGTGAGCAGTTGGAGGCACCAGATGCTCTGGCAGGATCCAGAAAGATGCCATCTGTGAGGGAAACCTATTCTTAGAGAGCAGAGACAGTCAGTGGTGGAGCTGGCCACCCCCCAGCGGCTGCGGGGGGACATGGGGAGGGCAGGCAGCCAAGGCTTTACCTTCAGTTGGGGAGTAGGACAGGCTAAAAGCAGGGTGTATTCAGTTCTCAGGACCACATTTCCTTCTATACTTGGAAGCTATTAGAGATAACAGCAAACATTTATTGTTTACTTTATGTGTGTCATATTGTTTAATCCTCCAGGCCACCCGAAGAGGTGTATGCTATTAGAATGCCTACTTTACAGATGACGAAACATAGGCACAGAATGGTTAAGTCGCTTGCCCAAGAAAACAAAGGGGCCAAGGCTGAGCCCATGCACTTGCTCCAAAGCCTACATTCCCAACCACCATGTTACACTGTCTCTCCACCGGCGATGCCAGGGGCCAATTTTAGTTTGGGTTCCCTCAGTAGCAGAGCCCAAGACAAGAATTTGAGTGAAAGTGGTTATTACAGGAAGTGGGCACAAGAAGCACTGGTAAGGGCATGAAGGGAGACAGGAAAGGGGGTGTCATCGAGCATGTGACCACTGTGGGCAACCGGAGCTCAGTCCTACTGGGCACCCTGGGAGCCAGAGTGGAGCACACGCTTAGAATTATTCCACCTAGTCAAAAAGGCAGGTTCGGGAACCAAAAAGATTCATGATAATGGATAACTAGATTGAAAACATATATAAGTAATTATGTATCTTTGAAATTATTTAATATGGGGGATATTTTTATGTGATAAAACTTTCATATGATAAGTACACTTAAATTAAAAAAAAAATCTTAAAAAAAAAAAAAAAGACTATTCATCAGTCATTGGCTGAGAGCTGTTCCTGGGATATGTTAATCTTCCAGCACTGCAGGTGTGCTGCAGGGTGGCAAAGCAGGTGCCAGTGGCCAGTGAGAGCCCCTCAGGCAGAAATACACACAGAGGTGGCTGTTGGAAAAGTTGGCTGGTGTATACTGAGGTGGTAAGCTAGATGGGATATGGGCAGGGCACCCCCAGCATCTGCTATAGAACAGATGTTGTACAGCATCTTGCTGATGGCCACCCTCTCCCCTCCCTATAACTCTGGGGTCTCATAGAGCCTCCAGAGAGTGAACCAAGGGACCTTCAAGATCACCTTCTCTAAGCTTGCAGTACAAAAGTGTGGCTGAGAACACAGCTGTTAGAATCAGACCTAATGCCATCTTCATTACCTAACAGCTCTGTTTAACTCATTTGTCACATAGTTATGGGTGGGCCCTTATCATCCCCAACTACTTCATTACTCAAGGTATGGCTCAGACCGGCAGCAACATCATTTGGGAGCCTGTGAGAAATGCGGAATGTTTAAACCACAGCCCAAACTCACTGAATCAGAATCTGCATTTTAATAAGATCTCCAGTGACTCGTGCACATTTCTACTAGTAACTTCTAAAATATAAAAAGAGACTGAAGTATTTCTATTAGATCAAGAGTCTTCAACTGGTGGGCCACGGACCAAATCTTCCTGGAGGTCTGTTTGATTTGTCCAGCTTGGTGGTTTTAAAAAATCAGACCGGCACACAAGTCTCCAGTTCACCATGTACCCATCACTCCCTACTGCATAGAACCCAGAATGTTATGCCACTTGCCAGGCCACTGTAGGCATTTGAGTTTGTACTCCTCTCTGGAACAGACCCTATAACTAGTTAACATTTGCATAGCTTAGCTTAGGTTTCTAAATTTAAAGTAAGGCACTGAAAAACAGATAGATCTGGTTTCAAACCCTGATAGGGCTATCATACTAGCTGTATTACCTTGAGCAAGTTACTTCCTGTCTCTGATTCTCAGTTTCCACATCTGTAAAATGAGGATCGAAACAGGTCAATGAGGTCACTGTATGGATTATGAGCAAAGTACCAAGGAGGAAGTCGGAGCTCACTAAATGGAAGTGATTAGTAGCAGCAGCAGTCGTTGTAGTTACACAAGTCCAACATGGGCACCAGGTATTATTACGATTATCCTCATTTTATAAGAAACTGAGGCTCTGAGAGGTCAAGAATCTTCCTCAAGTAACTTCCTCAAAGTTACACAGTGGAGCAATGGGTACTCAAATCCAGGTACTCTAGGTCTATATTTGCACTGTCCACTCGAATTTTCTGTGATGACAGAAGTGTTCTACATCTGCATAGTCCAATACAGTCGCCACTAGGCATTACTTGAGCACCTGAAATGTGGCTGGTTCATACTGAGATGTGCTATAAGTGTAAAATGCACACCTGGTTTTGACAATTTAGTACAAGAAAAAAGAATGTAAAATATCTAATTTTTATATTAATTACATGTTGAAATGATAATATTTTAGAAATTTGGGCTAAAATAATTAAGGTTAATCTCATCTGGTTCTTTCCACTTTTTTTTTTACAATGTGGCTACTAGAAAAATTTCAATTATGTATATGATTCTCATTGTGTTTCTACTGGACAGTGGAACTCTAGAGCATCTCCAATAGAACACCTGAGACAAGGAACTTAATATTTTATAAAAACGTATTTGCAAACTCACTGCCCACCAGCAAGAAGCCCCGTTACATAAGAAAGGTTGAAGAACATACCCATCAGAAAGAGATTTCAATGACCCTTGAGGCCCAGAGAGTGGGGTGACTTTCCCTGGTTTCACGGAAGTTAGCAGCACAGCTGAAACCATGCCCAAGGCTCCTTAGTCTGATTTAGATACTTGTTCCATCATTTAAGAGTACCTAATGAAATTTGAAAAATCCCCCATAAGCACCTCAGGGCCACGTTACTTCGAGGGGCGGCTCTTGTTGTAGATGAGGAAATCTGAGATGTCATGCCACACATTGCTGTCCTCGTACAGGTAGGTCATAGAGGACTGCAGCGAGGGCTGCAGCGTGGGCCGGTGGTACTCGAAGAGCCACAGCACCAGCCCCCACACCATCGCAGAGATCAATGGGTATGGGTCCCACTTGGGTTCAGGAATGTAGCCCTTCTCCACACCAAGGCGGCACAAGGCAAACAGGGCACGTGACAACAGGTACATGCTGATCTGCAGAGAGGAAGTAACAGGAGATTATGGGTGGGCACAGCCACTGAGAACCTTCTTCCCACTCCATGCACGGGAGCACCTGCTTGCATGGATAGGTGTTTTTCAAAGTTGGTGTGCAAGATAATTCGAAGTGGTATATAGCAGGCATTTTAATATCACTATTTTACTATCTTGAATTTATTGTTTTTCATTTAAAAATATTTTTAAGTGAGTACATTTTAAATTAGTACCATTTAAAAATATTTTTAAATGGTTCAAAACTAAAAGGTAACTTGACACCAGAAAATACATCCATAAAAGAAAAACACTGATAAATTGGATCTCATCAAAATTAAAAATTTTTTCAGTTATGAAAGTCCATGTGAAGAGGGTGGCAAAAAAAGCTACAGACTGGGAGAAAATATTTACAAATATATATCTGACAAAGACAAGTATCCGAAATATATTGTTAAAAATCTCAAAACTCAACGGTCAAAAAAAAAAAAAAAAAATCCAATTAGAAAATAGGTAAAAGACATGAGCAGATATTTGACTGAAGCGGTTCTACAAATGAAAAGTAAGCACATGAAAAGATGTTCATCGTTAGCCATCAAGGAAATGCAAATTAAAACCACAATGAGATGTTACTACATACCTATCAAAATGCGTAAAACTAAAAAAAAGTTAAAAATCAAATACTGGCTAGGATGTGGATAAACTGGATCATTTGTATATTCCTGGTGGGAATGTATAAAAATGTAGTTATGTTCTCACTGGTGGGAAACTCCTAATATGTCCACTACATAAACACAAATTTTGAAGGTCTATACAAGACACAGTTAAAGTGACTGACCGTCCCTGGATATTGGCTTGACAACTGTCAGGGGACAGGAACTTTCTTTTCAATTTATTTTCTACTTTTATCATGATGTATCCTAAGCACCTGGAAGTGTGCCAGACAAACAGAGGTGCTTAGCCTGCATTTTTTTAAATGTGAAAATAAAACTATTTTTATAATTTAAAAATATTTAATAAGTTTGAAGGAGGCAAACTGTGGGGCTAACTTTTCATGTTGAATAAGGACTTTAAAACATCAACAACTAGCATTTAATTTCATGTAAAAAACCAAAAAACAGAATTTTAACCCAGGAAAAGGACAAGTTATGGAATAAGAGACAATTCTTTGAGTATAATAAATTTTGTTTTATAAGAATCATACTCCTGGGTCATTTTTATTTTTTCTCATTTCATTGTAGAGTGGTTTTAAAAAAAAGAAATCTTTGCCCCAGAGAGTGGCACATGCACTGATTTTGGGAACCATGAAAGTCCAACAAGCTGCTTAGTTTCCGAATGAAGAAACTGAGGGGGAATTGATCTTCCCAAGGTCGCAAAGGAACTGGTGAAACACAGACTCTCAGACTTAGAAGGGAAACAAGAGCTCATCTTCTTCAACTTCCACCCCCAACTCATACCTGAACCACATTCCACCCCTCCTCAGCCAGTCCCCAACCCCATCCCTGAAGAGGATCTTTACCTGGTTGTTGATGTTATCGTTCTTTGTAAATACCAACAAGGATCCGATGAAGGCAGCCAAGAATGAATGCACCTGGTAGGTCTTCCCCTGCACATGGGACTGCAGGGTGCAAAGCCCCTTGTAGATGAACACGAAGCAGGCCAGCTTGGAAGAGTGGGTGTACGTAGCCTGCAGGATGGCCCGAAGCTTATCCTGGAGGCTGCACAAACACAGGAGTCACCATAAGTGCAGGCTCAGCCATTCCAAGAGCATTCGCCCATTAGGCATGCAAATCTGACCCAAGCAAAAAGCTCACATTCTCATTTAACTCCAGGGCTCTAGCCTCCATGTCCTGGGATTCAGGTTTTAACTCCCTCTCCAGGCCACTTCCTCAGAGAAGTCTTCCTTAACTACCCTACATAAAAGAATGTCCATCACATCTGTCCCCTTACCCCACTTTTCTTTTCCTTCATAGCTCTTACCACCATCTAACATTCATAAACTTGTTTCTTATCTCCCCCCTACCCCTGTCCTATACCCAGTGGAAGCTAACAGAGAATAGTGTCTACACTTGGCTTTTCATCCTCAGGGCCCAGAATAGGACCTGACACATAGTAGGTGCTCAGTAAAAATTTTGGGGGGTGAACATGTAAAGAAATGAGTGAGGGAGTGAGTGCCTACTATATGTTGAACCTGGGAATACACTCCTGGGAAAAACAGATCTGCTTCCTGTCCTCATGAGGCTTATGATCTAATGGGAAAGGGAAATATAAATAATCATAAAGCAAGGGTCCAACTTTGACCCTGACAAGAGATATTCTTGGGATCTGAAGGATAAGAAGTCAATGAGGTCAAGAGGGGAGAAGAGTTGCATCACAGGCAGAAGAATCAGCACATGCAAAGGTCTTGAGAAAGGACCGAGAGTGGGAGTAAAGAAACAGAGAGAAACCATGAAGGCCTGAACGGAGAATGTGTGGGCGAAGGATGTAGGGGATATAGGCGGGGAGGTGGGACCGTGCTAAGTTTTGTCTTTATCCTGAGAGAAGTGAACATTTAAGTAGGGGAGGGAGTTAATTTATCCTTTAAAATTAAATCACGTGGAGGCAGTAATGAGAACACAGGGAGAAGGACAGAATGTACTCTGGGAGATCAATTCAGGAATAGTAAACCCAAGTGCCCTCAAGGCTAGATGAGGACCTTGAAGTGAGTCCACTGGGACCTGTGGTGGAAATCTGCCAGGTGAAAGGGCATAGCCAGGAGTCAGCTGGTTCTTGCACCATAGGAACATGGGCCCAGCATTGCCAGTTCTAAGAAAATTAGATTTCCCAGTTTTTAAGTGTTGGCACTAATCTCGCCTTCAAATTATTTCTAGACTCTGACCACTTCTCACCTCCACTGCCACCACCAAGATCTGAGCCACCAGTGTTGCTCATCTGGATTATTGCCACAACCTCCTATTTTATATCTACTTTAGCCCTTGGCCCTCCACCTACATCTGTTCTTAATCCGGCAGAAAACTCTTCAGTCTCACGCTATTAAAAGATAAGTCAAGGACATGGTTCCATAGTGTAGCGGTTCACATGTCTGCTCTACATGTAGAAGGTCCTAGATTCGTGCCCCAGTGGAGCCATGGTCCATGGTCTACGGCCATGCTACCCTGAACAAGCCCAATCTCGTCTGAGCTCGGAAGCTAAGCAGCATTGGGCCTGGTTAGTACTTGGATAGGAGATCACCTAGGAAGACCAGGTGCTATAGGGACAAATAATTTTTAAAAAATATGTGTGTGTATACACACGCACACACACGTATATAAAAGATATATAAACATATATGTATGTTTATATATGTTTATACATATATATAAAAGATAAGTTATATAGTGGCATATCCCTGCACAAAACCTTATAATTTCCTGTTTCACTTAAAGGAAAAGCCAAACTCTTCTCTATGACCTGAAGTTGGACAGGATGGGCCAAGGTTACCCCTGTGACCTTCCTCTTTGTTCTCTTCCCTCCAATCCCTCCGCTCCACACTCCACTCTCCCGAGACTCACCAGGCATGATCCCACCTCAGGGCCTTTGCACTGGCTATTCCTTTTCCCTGACACCCTCCCCTGAGCCAACTCATTCATCTCCTTAAAGTCTTTATTCAACTGTCCCTTTCTCACTGAGGCCTTCCCTAATTAATTTTGCAGGCTGCCCCTCCTCCAGTACTCCTGATCCCCTTTCCTTGCTCTAATTTTTCTTTCCCACAGCCTGTATCACCTTCTAACATACCATATATTTATTATCTTTATTTTCTGCCACCTCCTGCTAGAATGCAAGCTCTATGAGGGCAGTGATCATTGTCTGCATCTCCACCACCTGAAACAGTATCTGGTTCATAGTAGATGCTCAATAAATATTTACTGAATGAATGAATGAGCCCAATTTAAAAAAAAAAAACTGGTTCAGAGGACAAAAACCAAATCAAACAAAAATAAGTTTAAAGAGTAAAAATGCAAAAAGAGAAAATCTTAAAAACTGGATTTGGACAGAAGGCTGTCTATGTGTAATTCTTATAAGCTCCAGATGAGGCTACCTACATTAAAAACTAGACCACAAGGTGGTCTCTGAGAAGTGTTTTTAGGGAAAATTTATGAGAGATCAGAGGAAGGCCAAAAAGTCTAAGGAAGAAAGGGATATCATGGACAATTTTCTGAGAAAGTGACCCTCCGAGAACTGGTATGGGTTGCCAGGAAGGAAATAAAGGTGGGGTAGA